GCTGTTTTTGTGATTCTCAGTGAAGTTTTCAGGCTGAACCACCAACAGGAACACATGAGGTCCAGGATGAGAGGCTCTCTCACAGTCTTTAATGAACTTTGTCAGTTTGTCATTAGTGGAAACCTGTGGATCTTCAATGTTGATAACAGCTATCTTTTTCTCTGGTTCCAAAGTTCCACTGCCTCTGAAAAAGATCTGAGGTTTTGGGTTAAAACCCTCCTCTCCCAGTATGAAGTTCCCCACGTCTCTCCTCTCAGCCCAGCTGCCTCCCAGCAGAACAACCCTCAGCTCAGACACTGAGAGATAAAAAAGAGAAATACTTGAAATGAAAGAACTTTTAATTTTAGATCCATATTAAGAGTTATTTTTACAGTTCTGTACGGCTGGATATGTAGTGGTAACGCAGAAGGCTGCTGGTACAAATCCTGACTAGGGCATCTATCCAGTAAGGGCCCCCAAAGCTAGGCCCTGCATGCCTCCCTAACTTACCTCAATAGTAAGCTTGTATCTGTCAGTGGGCTGTAAGACGCTTTGGGTGAAAACTACTTCTAAATACACTAAACATATTAACATCTTTATGCATAAAGTTTGATCAGATAAACTGTATCCAGCAGCTGCGCTTTGAGAGGAATTTCTTAGAGGAAGTTCAGACAAACTCACTGTTAGGTGGTATGAGTTCATAGCTGCCTCTGCGCTTCAGAGGCTTCTTATCTGTAAAGACAAATGGAAATAATTCAGAAGATGAGTAAACATTTTTATCACATGTGTAAAATGATTGACCTTTGATATAGCCCATTACAATAAAAGTAAATGTTTAAGCTGTCTTAATTATAACCACTTCATTCTTTCTGGTTTCTAAAAGCCTGTATCCCACTGAGCTCACCTCCTGCAGCAGCCATGATGTCCCTCTGTGAGCTCAGAGCTTCTCAGCAGCAGAACAAACGCTGGTTTAAACCATCTGACAGAAGAGATCACACACAGATGGGAAATATAAGCAGGTTTTATTAAGCTGCAACATTATCACACAGACTGATAAAGAACTTAGTGCTGATTCAGGATCCCAAACCGCCATCAAAACATTTTTATTTCTAAAGTATTGGATTTAATTTTGTCTTTTCACTACAAGATGGAGGTGATATGTCAGATTAATCATAAACATGAACTTATTTAATATGTGGAGAGTTTCATAAGTATGGGAAAAGCTGGAGATCAGAGTCTGAAAACCTCTGAGAAAGAAATTATTCACAGTGATTTTAAAACTGTGACAAAAGAGAGGAGTATTTTAAAGTTTAGCTCTCATATAATGAATAGAAACGTGTCTGATAAAGTAAAAAATATATAACCACAGACATCTGCAGGGATCAGGAGTCTATGTTTGCGGGTTTGGATCAAATACTTAAAATACTTATACTAGATCATTTTCATATACTTCAAAAAAGGAAAATAGATAATCTATTTTAGTTAATTATCAGAAAATCACATAGTTACATAAGACTGAAACAGCTTAAACAATATGAAAGCTCCACTTCACAATAATAATTACATCTGGAAATGATAATCTGTATTTGAAATATTATTTGAACGCTAGCAGTTTTCCATCAATTGCTGATTTTTCCTGTAATCATAACCAAACTGACACAATAATTTTGCTGATTGGTTCAGCCTAAACTTTATGACAGTTAAGCTTTTTGGGGTTTCATGATTTTGTTGTTCAGCTAAAACAGTAAATAAAAATGTTCTCTGCAGCACAGAGATGCACAACAGGCAAAAATGAGAAAAACAACTCTAAAATCTAAATACTGTCACAGTGTTTATCCTCATAGAGCCTAAATTGTGTCGCACTGTCAAGAAGACATTGAATTAAGCCTATCTGAAAAACTGTAAAACCATTCAAAGGAAACTTTTTCCCGTCGGTCTGTGAAACCTGTTTTTATCGGAGGTCCCTGATAATTTAACCTCCTGCTAAAGTTTCATTTGTTGATTCAGAAATCTGTTCTTGAATCTGAATTGCCTTCAGACAGAATCTCATTTGTTCAATATGTTTTTAAATATTTTAGTAACTCACCAGTTGAGTCGCAGCTCCACAAAAAAGGGAAAATGAAGTCAAATGAAACAGGACTTGGACACAAAGTCCAAGTCATTATCAGCATCGTCCCAGGAAGTTTAACCCTTCCCTGTATCCCCAGAAGAAAAACTCAGCAAAACAAAAAGTTTCTTTACTTTTTGTTCCCTCATGGAAAAATTAAGGAACTCTTGTTTCTTCAATGAGAATTTAAACCTTTGAATATTTTTAGCTCAACAGAAATACTGAAACTAAGAGGCAAAATGGTTAAATTCCCAGACAGAATTATAAAAAAGATTTATTTTTTTTGGGTTACATTTTTGGAATCAAAGACTTCAGCTTAAGAAAAGTTATTTTAATGCATTTTTTCTGGGTCCAGGTATTGAAGAGCGACCAGATCATGTCGTGTTTTCCAATAATCAGAGCACTGATCAATAATCAGAGCATTGATCAATAATCAGAGCATTGATCAATAATCAGAGCACTGATCAATAATCAGAGCACTGATCAATAATCAGAGCACTGATCAATAATCAGAGCATTGATCAATAGAGTGGCGTGTAGGTTTATTGTCATTTGTTACTGAATTAATTGTATTTTTAGGGGAGTTGATGATGATTCCTGCTACATTAAACTGATAGTTTCTTTGTTCCTTAGACTGTATTTGTGAAGCTAATTTCTGTTTGATTTGGTTCCTTTTATATTTATAGCTTCAGAAATAAAATTAAAACACCAAACTATCAATTATTTGTTGTTTTTCCAAAAGGCGGGGCCAGGACAGGGTGAAGTGTCTCCAAACTGGCTTTCAGAGTCAGTTTCAGAGGGTTTTGTGATGTAGAATTAAATATGCACCCATCAGATGACTTCTGATTTGAAACATCTGTCCTAATAAGTCCTCCTGACCCTGACTAGGTCTGTTTTTCAGTTTAAACTTCAGCCACCAGACAGTGAGTTCATATGGACTTTCCCCTGAAAACTGACAATATGTAAACTCTGGGGGTTATAGGTTAAAAAATATTCCTTATTTTTGTTATAAGTTCTTACAAAGCTACCAACATGTGTATTAAACCAACATCTTGCTAATTTGGACTGAAATCAGGGTTTGGTATTAATGTGTAACACCGACATCTGGTGGTCAAAATGGAACTAACTAAAATACAAATGTCATTCAGTGGAATTATCTTAGGTCAGAGCCTCAGTTTTTATCATTGCTGTACACTTTCCTTTACCCCCAAACTACTTATTAAGTCTTTCTTTAAGAGGGATGATTCACTGGAGGATTACGCAGTTATTTTTTTTTTCTTAGCTGAAACTTCTCATAAAATCAGCAACCAGCCCACCAAATTCCTCTAACCTCTCCTTCTCTGATGCCCTGTTATGATTATTATGACAATGCATTGAGATAAATGTTTCAGTTTAATGGACACATGGTTTCTTTCTCTTGAATAGTAGAATCTAAATTTATTTGGAATAAAAATAGGACAATGCTATGATTCATAAATGTAAGTAAATGTTTTCATTCACAATATTAAATATATATATTTATAGGCTGTGTAATAAAGTCATATTATCTGGACCAAAGCTCATTGAAATTGGACTTTAAACTGTTCTGTGGTCAGATTAAGGCTGCTTTGATAACATGGAGGGCTAAGAGGGAATTATTAACTAGCAGATATAAAAAGAAGAGAGATGATGGAAAAAATAGAAGGTCTGTATGATACCATCTATTTCCTGGATAATCAGTAGGTAGTTTGTGTCTTTTCTGGGAGAGAGGGTCTGAAACTGAACTGCACTATATCCTGAATCCAGACTTTACTGAGTGCTGGTTCTCCTCTCTGTTACTTTAATATTCAAACAATGTGTCAGAGATTCTGCTAGAAACAGACAGTCTGAGAAAGCCGAGCTAATGAACTTTATTTTGGGGGTTCCTGTGTTGGACACGGAAGCAGAAACAGACTTTCAGCCAGTCAGAGAATCACGGTCGGAACACTAGGACCCAAATTTACGACTCCAGGCAAGGGTATCCAAAAATCAGAGTTGTTTATTCAGAAAACGGTCGGTACACGGGCAGGCAAACAGGATCAGGCAGAGGTACAAAAACGCCAGACACGGTGGTCAAAAGGTGGCAGGCAAAGGTCAGGATCACAAGACAAGACGAGACGAGAGGAGAACAAAGTTGAACAACTGACAAAACTGACAAGTATGAACACGTAACGAACAAGAGACAGACTGGAGAACATATACAAGACAAGGGAGGACCAATGAGGTGGAGGTGATTAGGGAGGAGTCAGGTAATCAAAAGGGAGGAAGTGGAACAACAACAGACAGGAAGGACTACAAAATAAGACAGGAAACAGAACAAAGACGTGTAAACCCATAACACAGAGGCCTGTTGAAGGATGTGGTGTAAACTAATGTTAATGCATTGACGTATATGTGTACTGCCACCAGGGGGCAGACCATGGTCCTATGTTGATTGAAAGCTGCGTTAAGACAGCAGAGTTAGAGCCAAGCTACCTGTGCATTTGTGATGGAAGCATGTGAATAAAAGAGCTTCGTGAGAACTCTAAAAGGGCATCCTCGTATATGTGAACCCAACACGACAAAGGAAATGGAGCTGGTTCTCCTCAACTCCTCGGATCTGCAGAGGCCCAGCATCTCTGAGCACAAGCTGATGGAGTTGGTGCAGATGTGTGGGAGTCTCTTAGCTCCAGGAACATGTTAAAAATAAATTTAGTATGTAGAAGAATCCAAATTTGATTCAACATAATGGATTTTAATACAACTGGATCACAAACACAAATGGATTCTTTAAAGTCTTGTCTTCAGCTGGGATAGACTGGATCAAAATGGCCATCCGGTGAGTCCATAAAACATCCAGTGATAGATGTATGTGTCACGTCTGGTGTCTCGTCTGGTCTTGATTACCTATTGTGTACACCTGGGGTTCCCCTCCCTCATGTGTTTAAATAGTCCTCGTTTCCCCTTGTCTTGTGCGAGTGCGTTCTTGTCCTTCTAGTCCGTCTTGTCCGTCGTCTCCCCCACGCCAGGTTTGTTTTGCCATAGTCTTTGTTTTTGTCATAGTCACAGTTTTGCTACAGTTTTGTTAATCTTTATTTTGTTACTTTGTCAAAGTCATAGTTTTTGCCACAGTCTTGTTTTCTTTACATTACACAGTTTTCCACAGCTTTGATTTGTACTTTGTCTGGACATTCACTCTGGTTTTTTGTTACAATAAACCTTGTTTCCCTCATCTCCGCAACTGAGTCCTTCCGTCAACACCCACCTACATGACAGTATGTGTAAGGCCAAACAAACATATGTCACATGAATCACGACACATGACTATGACACTCAAAAAAACTGTGACCAAACTTAAACTAATGACTTACCTGTTGTTCAAATTGTGCTAACTGATCACCCCCGGTATTGTGATGATTGGCCGAAACACTCGATGATCCTGGAGTCCACAACCGATGATGTGCTCCCAAATTTGATCTAATTTAATTTGATGTGGTTGACCGACATGACAAACTCACCGACCCTTAGAGGCTGCACGTCCATGTAACGTAGGGAACATTCCATAAATAAAAAGAGAGGAGGCAGCAGAGTCTGGTCAGAGTATGGTGGAGACTGTAGAGTCTGGTCAGAGTATGGTGGAGACTGTAGAGTCTGGTCAGAGTATGGTGGAGACTTTAGAGTCTGGTCAGAGTATGGTGGAGACTGTAGAGTCTGGTCAGAGTATGGTGGAGACTGTAGAGTCTGGTCAGAGTATGGTGGAGATGGTAGAGTCTGGTCAGAGTATGGTGGAGATGGTAGAGTCTGGTCAGAGTATGGTGGAGATGGTAGAGTCTGGTCAGAGTATGGTGGAGGTTCTAAAGGCTCCGCGGCTCTCCTTGCAAGTCTAAAGAGTAACGTCTCTGAATCTGGTTTCTCCTCCACTGTCCTTTAAAAATGTTTTGGATTTAACCCTGACAGTCAGCACACACTTTCACCGTGTTTTTCACAATGCTGAAGTTAAAACAACATTTTGGGCTGACAAAATAAATTAGCATGCCAAGCTAACATGCTAACACGAATAGGCTAAATTCTGGCCACAATAACACTAATTTTAAACCAGTATTAGGACTAACACACTAAAGCTCAAATTACTTAACTTGGACAGAACCCAGACAATCAATTAGTCAGTTTGATTTGCGATGTTGAAATTTGAAAATCCAACCTCGTGTTCAGCTGCTGGTTCTTCATCATCAGGTTTTATCTGGTTCTGCTTTGATCCAGAACTCTGGATCAGGAGGAGCTGATAAGTTTAACTAGACTTTCTTGTGGTTCAGGTAGTTTTTCATAGAGGCTCAGTGGGTTATGGTGAATATGAACTGGAACCTTAGTGCTCAGGTTCTCTGGGAGAGGAGAGCATCCTGTTCATAGACAGACCAGGAAAGCAATATGATGCTTTTGTTGAGAGGATTGGCATCCTGGGAGGATCACTAGTTCTATGGGACCACATAGAGTCAACCATGCACTCACTCTTTGGGTCAAGTTAAGCAAACACACTCTAAAGTAACTGGACAGCTGGATAAGCCTAAAAATGCTGGGAAATGCAGGAGGAAACAGCGTTTCCCCCCTAAACGCGTGCCAGAGTCCCCTGTGCAGGACCCGGTTCCTCTGAGGCACAGCACCGGCTCCCGGAGGCGCTGGGGGTCCGGGGGGAGCGGCGCATTCCCCGGCCGGTTCAGACCTGTCGGGGAGCCAGCCCACGCCATGCAGCGGAGCTCCAGCACCAAAAAAGGTGCAGATCTCACAGGAAGCCCGGGAATCCTCTGCTCATGTGGTTCCTGACTGCAGCATGCAGAGACCTGCAGCCTTCAGAGGAATCTGTCAGAGGAACGACGGTTCTGTGGACAGAAAAAAGGCAGAACCCTCCCAGAACAGCAGGAGCACGTCTCTGAACTCACATTAATTAGCTCAATTCTTTTCTAATCTTATTTTTTAATCTATTCAGTTTAGTTTGTTCTTTGTTATAATGACATTTTTCCCTTTGGTTTAATAATGACCGTTAATAATGAGTAATATCATCATTTTCTGTTTTCTATTTTGGGAATACAGAGTTTCTCTCTCTCTCTCTCTCTCTCTCTCTCTCCACATATAGTTTGAATTCCGACTTCTTGTTCATTTCCCCCCAAAACAGAGTACGTTTCAAGCTTCCGTCCAGCTGATGTGACAATAATCAGCTGCACAGATTCTTCTTGTGTGAGTTACAAATATCACGAGGGATCAAAACACCAGTAAAACTGTCATTTAGGATCCATTAAAAAAAGAGTGATGAAGATCAGAGGATGGCACACTGGCTTTTGTACTGCTGTCTCAGGTATTCAATTTCCTCTTGTTGCTTTCTCTTCATGCTCTCAATTTCCTCTCTCAGATGTTTTTCTTTGTGCTTTGAGAGGTTTTGGAGCAGCGAGCTTTCTTTTTTGCGTCTCTCTTCTGTGTCGTAGATTTGTCTCTCGTGCTTTTTCTTCAGTTCCAGCATTTCTTCCATGTGTTTTTCCACCAGAGCTGTAAAATCTTTGGTGTATTTTTGCTTGAATTCATTGAACTCTTCTGCTTGTTTTCTGGCCTCTTCTTCGTAATTCTTCCTCATCTCCTCTAGTTTTTCCTTATAGTTTTCCTCCATCTCTCTTCTCTCCTTCTCCTCTTGTTCTTGTCTCAGCCTGTCTTCTTTTTTCTTTTGTTCATCATACTTTTTTCTTTCCTGATCATATTCCTCCTGAAGCTTCCTCACTCTTTCGTGCTCCTTTTCTCGTCTCTGTTCATCATCTCGTTGTCGATTCTCCCACCACTGTTTCCGCTCTTCCTCCCACTTTTCCTGTTGCTGTCTCATCTTTTCTTTGCTTTCTTCCAGAGCTCCGTCCAGTTTTTGTTGCCACTCCTGCTGTTGATATTCTTCCTCTTTTTTCTTCCTTCTGTTTTCTTCCTCTCTTATCTCCTGCTCTTTCTTTCTCTCATCACGCTCCTGTTGAATTTTTTCCTTCATTTCACTCAGTTGTTTTTCTCTCTCATTTTCTAGTTTTTCTTTCTCCTCTTTAAGTTTTGCTTTCATGGCTTCCATTTCATCCTCATGTTTCCTCTTCAGTTCCTCTTCCTTCCTTCTCCTCTCCTCCTCCTTGTCCTTCAGGATCTTCTCCACCTCCTTCTGGATGGCGACCTCGGCTTCTTGGAACATCTCAGTCGTGTAGCAGCCGCTGCCGTTGTCCTTCAGCATTTTCCTGCATTTATTCATGAGTTGTCTGACCTGTGTGCGGTCGGCCTGCTCGTTGTTGTTAAAGACCTGATACCTTCCCCCGCAGTCATGTACCAGCTTCATTACAAAGTCCTCAGAATCTTTGATATAGTCCTCAACTGGCTTGTTTTTCAGATCATCTCCTCTGGTAAATATGATGATGATGAAATCTTCTGAATGTTTGCCAAAGTATCCCTTTATCAGCTCCACAGAGTCTCTTTCCTCCTGTGTAGACCGGCCGATCTGCAGAACCAATAAGATCACATGAGGTCCAGGAGCCAACAAGCTGATGCATTTGACCAGCTCCTGCTGGACGACCTCGTTGGACAGAGTTGTGTCGAACAAGCCGGGGGTGTCGACAACGACAACAGGCTGACCCTCAAACTCTCCTATAGCTTTTTCACAGAACTTTGTCACAGACTTTGAGCTGCATGTGGAATGAAAACGTTCTTTTCCCAGGATGGTATTTCCAGTTGCACTCTTTCCACCACCCGTCTTCCCAATCAGCACCATCCTGAGAGGCTCTCTGCCCGAGTATTTGTCATCAGTTTCCTTCTCATGTTTCAGCCTGTTGAAACTCGCTTTGAGCTCTGCATTAATATTTTTCTGCTCCATGATCTTCTCCATCACAACCCCGGAGAGCATCCTGAGATCGAAGCCTTTTGCCCCTCTGACCCTCCTCCTCTCCACCTCCTGCAGCAGCTCTGGGACCTGCTGCTCATCCCTGATGTTGAAAACCAGAGATCTTCCTCCACACCTCTGACAGAGCTCCTGGATGTCTGTGGTTCCTTCTACAAAGTTAACAACAGCTGGGTCTGTAGGATCTGACTCCACAGTGAACAGAACCACCATGAAGTCCTTCAGCTGAGAGCCGAAGGCGTCCTGGAGGATTTCCACCTCCATCTTGTCTTCATCAGTGAGGGGACCCACAGGGAGGACCAGGATGAAGGCGTGGACGCCCTCAGGATCACAGAGGGAGACACACCTGAAGGATTCCTCCATCACGGCCTGCTGAGCTTTTCCACACAAGGCTGGCAGCTCCAGCAGAGAAAGCCCACGTCCACACACCTCTCCCTGATGTCTGACACACTCTGATGAGCTGGAGAGA